TTCTAAGAAAAGAAAAAAAGACAAGTTTTCAGAGGCTAGCAGCAGCGATTCAGAAGGAAAAGCAAAGACTAGGAAGGAAAAACTTTATGAAGATCTCTCCAGTAGTCACGGTAACAAGGACAAAGATAGGGAGAAGTATAGACTTTTAAAGCAAGATAGTTCTGCGGAGAACAGCAAATGGAGCTCCTGTGAGGGGGAAAGAAGGTCCAAAAGCAAATACCAGAGAGAGACTGAAAGAAAGGAGAGGGATAGCAGAAGCCAGAGCGCAGATGAGAGGAGAGGGAGAAGCCCTTGCACAAGTCACAGCAGTCACAGGCAAAGGCAAACAAGAAAAAGCCCAAGTCAAAGCCCTGGTGAAGAGCGTCACAGGAAAAATGAAACCAGGAGCCCCAGCACAGATGGGCACAGAAAGGAGAAAAAATACAGAGAGAGCAATGGCGACAAGTGCAGTAAAGTAGAATACAGAGAAAGGAGCAGAAGGAGTAGAAGCAGAAGCCGAGAGAGGAAAAAAAAGAGATAGTGTAGGGGGCCTTTGCAAACGAAAATGTCTCCTTCTCGATGATCCCTTTAACAAGGGCTCAGTTACACACTGCTCTTTGTTTTCCAACCTTTGTAACTAGCATTTCCTAAATAAAGCCAACAGCGTCATTTCTATGATGTTACAATATCTGTAAATTAGGACAAATGTTACGGTATTTTTCTTACTGTATAAATATTCTTGTTGGCAAATATCTTATGTTTACATGCAGTAACTCCTAGACCTGTGTTTGAAAGTATTTCAGAGCAGTGTTTGATATCCTTGATTTTTGTCGGTGGTGATTTTTGTTTTGATGCAACTGTGAGGGGAAGCAGAAAGTAATAGGGAAGAATCCTGGGGCATGTTAAATGGTAACAAATGTTTGAGATAGCTGTGGGTAAAATCCCTGCTTCCGACATCAAAACATCATGTTGTAGAGGGCTTTTTGTTGTTGTTGTTGTGTTATACTGCACCATTTTTCCTAAAGTTCCCCGTGAGAGATCAATTTCATGAGTTAAAACAACAGAGAGACATAGTTCACATAAGTGTGTAGCCAACATTTTTTGACCTCCTGCAGTGTACAGCTTGGTCAGGGCTATCTAAACATCTTGAACCCCTGTTGGTGTGTGTCAGTACAATGTCAAGTTATTGTTCAGTAAGCTCTCAAGACATGAAAAGAGTATTTACTGCCTCGACTGCTCCGGGTGTTTCATCGTTTGTGGTGGGAAGTTAATGTAAATATCCATCCTTTAGTTTTTGTGGAACAGACTTCTTCTTGGTGACTGTTGTTCTTCACATGCTGTTATGAACTTCAGTAATAAAATACCTTATTATTTAAAAGCAGTGAGAACTGCCTTCTTCTCCAGTGTTCTCAGTCGGTACAAATGCACAAGGCAATGCTTTGCTTTCTGTTTCAGGGCGGCAGGTGGAGATACATCAGTGAACAGGTGAAGGTGCTGCTGAGCTGATGGGCAGCTTTCTGCCCCTCCTCACTGCCGGGGCAAACAGCACTTTATTCCCAGTCCACTTCTACTTCTTAAAACTGTCATGCCGCTTTTCAGTATCGCACAGAGTATAATATATGGTGGAAGTGACCTGGCTTATCTTTTAAGCACGTGTGAATGAGTTTGAAAGGGCGAGCCATTAAGCGATGTCACCTTCTTCTAAATGCTTCTGCATGAGGTTGCTCGGAGTGTTCTTAATGAAGTGGCCAGGATTAAAGATGTGCACAGCGGAGTCAAGCCCTGCGGCAGTGTGTGCGTGAGAGCTCTGAGTGAGCAACAACAGGAGGCTGCTCAGAATGCCCATGTGAAGAATCCAAACGTTGTCTCGTGAAGAATGTGCTGTCTGTCCCTCTGGGATGGGCAGTGTGATAGGGGAAAAGGCCTATTCTTGTGGCAAACTTCACGTTACACGCAGCAGGAAAATTCAAGGGGTAACAAACAAGCAATGGGGCGTGCATTCCCAAAGCAGGGGCTGCGTGTGGCAGCGTTCTGTGTGCGGTAGGGTTCTGGTGCCCAACCGGGAGGGGCAGCTGATGCCTGCAGCTGTGGGCACTTGGCCGGGCCCCGCCATGTGCGCCCACTGAGGTGCGCGCTGAGCACACCTGGCCTCCTTCCACAGGTATGCCGGGAAGTGGTGCGTGCTCAACGTGAGGCCGCCACGATTGAAAGTTACAGCAGGGAGAGCGCGATGTTGGACGCGTCTCTCAGAGACCACCAGCTGAAGAGCTCCCAGCAAAGCCGCTCGTACTCAGGAGGCTCTCCCTGCTGAAGGTCCGGGCGGCCCGCAGCCGGCCCGCCACCCTTAGGAAGGCACGTAGCGGGGCGGCTGGAGAGCGGCCGCTGTGCGCAGGCTCGGGGCGAAACCCCGCCGGGACCCCTGGCAGCGAGGGCAGCGCGCGGGGCGCCGGGTTCGCGGCGCGGCCGCTCGGCGGAGCCCTGTAGGAGGTGCTGTCGCTTCACGGATGACGGTAAGAGCATCTTTTTATTATTATTGTGATTAAAAAAAAAACAAAAAAAAAAAACGGGACGCGGTCAGAGGTGACGGGGCCAGCTCGAGTTCCCCCCCGAAGGAAGCTCTCTATTTATGTTGTCATTGATTAATTCCCGCTACCTCATTTGATTCCGATTTAGAACGATTTGATTCTAATTGAATTAGCATGTAATTTGGGTGTACATAATTACTGTAATTATGACGTTCAGGTAAGGCAGCTTTCGGCTCGGAAAGGCAGTTTCAAATGTTCTACTTTTGTCTCTTCCCCGAGCGGACAGGGACTCCGCACCCCGCGAGCCACGTAGCAATTAGCCCATCTCGCCGGCAACGCTCGTACGCCGGCTGAGACAACGAAGCCGAGGCGGGAGGGCGGTGCGGTTTCGCCCGGTGCCCGCCGGCGGGGTCCCCCGCCGGCGGGCACCGGGCGAAGCCGCGCCGCCCAAGGCGGCCCCCCGACCTCGCCCCGCCGCCCGCTAGTTTCGCCGCTAGGTGGCGCCCGAGAGCCGCCGCACCGCCGCTGGCTGCCGCCGTCGGGAAGGCGAAGCCGAGAGTTTTCGCCCCCCTCTGTTGTTGTTGTTGTTATTATTATTATTATTTCTTCTCCCCTCTTTCCGATGTGTTAAGAACGTTATCCCTTGAGGGAATTTGTCGCTAAGTGATTCGCGCTTCAAATAAACACTCGGAGGGGGCGGGGGAGATGGCTGCGAGCGGAGCGCGGAGAAAGTTTCCGTTCGAACGGCAAAAGGCGCAGTTTCAGGGATGGGGGTCGTTGCGTTCGCTGCTTTCCGCCACCAAACCCCAAACCGACCAGCCCCGCAGCGATGGGCTGCGCGGAGCCGCCTGCCTCCGTTCCGGCTCCCTCTGCGCACGGGCTGCTCCGGAGCCCCGGCTGGAAAAAGGAAACGAGATTTATTCCGTTCTCCTCGTACCTTTAGTTGGTTTTGTTTTGGTTTTCTTTTTGTGTGTATGTGAAAGTTCCCCAGACCATATAATTATCGCCGACATGTACGAAAGAATGGCGTCGTTTATTTTGAAAAAGGTGACATGCTGTCTATTTTCCCCGTTAAACGAACCGGCGCTGCGGCCCGGAGCTGCGCCCTTCTTTCGTTTCGGAGCAGCCCGTCCGTGATGGACGTTTACTGACCCGAAGGGGCAAAGGCAATGCGAAGAGGTCCTTGATCACTGAGCTGAGAATTGTAACCCCGGCCCGGCAGAAACCGGACCCGGATGGGCTCCCTTTGATGTGTTTTATTATAAATGGAAAACAAAACCGCCTCCCGCCCCGCACCCGCCGGATTCCCTGCCAGTCCGGCCGCCCCGACCCGCAGCCCCGTGCCCCGCCGCAGCCCTCCCGCACCGCCCGGTCCGTAGAAGCGGGGCTCGGCCGGCAGCGCCGCTGTGTTCTCTTTGGGGCGACGTGTTGGTGGCCGACAGCAGAAACCGTTTCCCCGTGTTGTTAGCGCTCCCTATTTTATGGCGGATTAAAATATTGGTGTCCCTCCGATCTGTAGCGGACGGGCTAAATTAACTTTTTTTTTTCCTCTCTTTTTTTGTCTCTCCTCTCTTTTTCTTTCTTTTTTAATAACGCAATTATCTCATTTAACAATTTGCCTTTAAAAAAAAAATAAATAAATACCGTGGCTGTTAGGTTGGTGGTCAGGAGACAAAGGGAGTGAAAATAATTTTCATTTCAATAATTGCCTTCTGGTCAATTTAACTGTGCCTTATTTTGAAAGAGGCTGCCTAAATGAGATTCCCGTCCCAAATGTGTTCCCAGGCCTTAGCCCGGCCTTTAATTATTCCCGAGTTTTTTTTCTTCGGCATAAGACGCTGCACTGAGTAATCACAAAGAAGTCAGAGAGCATCCTTGAACCTTTTCAATAGCAGAGCCACTGATATTCAAATACCGCGCAAGGACCATTTGACTGCATGGGGACATAAGCATTTCCAATTCGCTATTTGCATAGATCGACCGGCTTTGAAAAGGAAAGGAGCAGTTGTCTTCCCGGACATTAAAAAGCCTCGTTATCAAATCGAGTGCTCGGTTTGGGGCTTTTAAAACGTTTACATTTTATCTCAGGTTGCCCTTTACCGTTTGACATGCAAATTCGGCGCAGTTAATTTGGACAATTAAAAGGAGCTTCAAGGGAGCTTTGTCACCGAGCGTATCCCGGCTTTTCCCCGCGGACCGGCGGAGATAAAGTTGGCCAGAACAAATGATGTCTGGGAGATTAATTAGATATTTGATAAGACATGAATCCCTAATAAGGGAATACAAGGCACAGGGGGCTGCTGCGCGCTCTAAGTCAAAATTAATAACATTTAACAAGATTTTCATTTAGGCATGAAATGCCTTTTCCGGAGTATTGACTCGAGCGCTTTATTCCCCCGAGATCCCCCCGCACTAACGGCCCGAGCAGCGGCCCGGCTCTCCGCCCTCCCGCTCCGCACGGCGGCTCTCCCCAGCAGCCCGCAGCCGGGCCCCGGCCGCCATCCCAGCCCCGCAGCCCTGAGCGAGCCCGGGGCCGCCCCGGCTACCAATAAGGACAGAGCCGCGAGCGGATGGTTGCGAGTCCTTTAATAATACCAAAATGAAAATATGTCGAGATTTTTTTTTTTTTTTTTTCCATACAGATAAACGCATTTAATTTCTTTAAGCGACCTTAACTTACGTGTGTTTGAGTGAAATGTTAACTCAACGTTTTAAATATCTTTTACATATATACTGACTTCCACAAAGTGCATCAGAAATTTAAAATAAAATAATTATTAAAAAAAAAAAAGTAACCGAAGCCCCAAAACCTCCCTGAATTTCAGGAATTCACCGATAAAATAAAAAGGAAACCCCCGACCCCCCTATCAGATCCACATTTACAGGAAAAATAAGCGACCACACTCGGGTTGGGTTTTGTTTCGTCTCCGACCCCTATTTATACAGATGGTTATGAGATACAGAGGAACCGTCTCGGCCTGCCGCCTTAGTTTCTCACCTTCAGCCTCTCAGGATGCTTTCCTTTCAACAGAAAGAAGAGAAAAAGGAAACGGGGGGAAGAAAAAACGAAAAAAAAAGAAAACAGAAAAACGAAAAATCGCAGAAGCGTCCCTCGGGGCGGGGGGTCGGGTGGCCGCCGTCCCTCCCGGGCCGGGCCGGGCCGCGCTGCGGGCGGCGATCCCTAGGAGTCGCCGGGGCCACCCGGGGGTTCCTTGCCCGGGCCGCGGGCGGCGGCCGCCCCGTCGTGCAGGAGGAGGTCGGGGGACTCGGAGCGCGGCGTCTCCAGGTTGCTGGCGTCCGTGTCGCTGTCGCTGCCCTTTTTGCCCCCGCCGCCCCCGTTGTGCGTTTTGATGTGTTTGCTCAGGTGGTCGCTGCGCATGAAGCGCTTGTTGCAGACGGGGCAGGCGAAGCGCTTCTCGCCCGTGTGAGTCCGCAGGTGCCGCTGCAGCTCGTCGGAGCGGGTGAAGCGCTTCCCGCAGAAGAGCCAGTTGCAGACGAAGGGCCGCTCGCCCGTGTGCCAGCGCAGGTGCGCCTTCAGGTGCGACGTCTTGCCGTACACCTTGCCGCAGCCCGGGATGTGGCAGCTGTGCAGCCCCTTGCGCCGCAGGCTGGCCCCCGCCGGCCCCAGCCGCTCGGCCTCCTGGCAGTTGGGGCAGTCGCAGGTGGCGCGGCCCGAATAGCGGCGGGCAGAGCGCGCCGAGCCGCCCCCCGCCGCCGCCGCGGCCGCCCCCGAGATCATGGCGCTGGCCGCCGCCACCGCCGCGCTGGAGTCCGTGTAGGAGGGCAGCACGGGCTTGAAGCCCTCCTGAGCGAGCAGGTGCTGGCCGGTGGAGAGCAGGTGCGAGGCGGCCGTGGAGCCCAGGCCGGTGGAGCTGAAGGCGGAGTGGGTGAGCGAGCTGAAGTCGGGGTTGTAGGTGCCCAGCTGGGAGTGCAGCGAGGCCTGGGGGGCGCCCGAGTGCAGCGAGCCCTGCAGCCCCCCCGCCGGGTTCTGCACCTCCAGCCACGAGCCCGGGTTGGCGTGCACGTCCCACCACGGCGAGGCCGCGCCGTTGGCCACCTCGCCGGCCGACAGCGTGGAGTGGAAGCCCGACTTGTACCAGGATTCGTAGGGATGCGCCATGCCCACCCGCGGGTACAGCCCGTCGGCCGCCGCGCCGTGCACCTTGGAGATGAAGGCCGACTGCCCGGCCGGCTCCTGCGGGGACACGCCCGCCGCCGCCGCCGCCGAGTTGGAGAAGAGCCCGCCGTAGTCGCTGCTGAAGGCCGACGAGGTGGGCGAGGTGGAGGCCAGGCAGAAGGCGCTGTTGGCCGCGCCCGTGCCGCCGCCCAGTCCGCCGGAGCCCCTGCTCGTGGCCACCGCGAAGCCCGACAGGCCGGAGCCCAGGTTGCAGCTGGACGCCGAGCGTTTCCAGGGGTGGAAGCCCCCCTTGGCGAAGGCGCTGGACTCGGGCAGCGTGGTCAGCGGGCTGGTGTTGCCGATCTTGTTGCAGGTGGCGGCCAGCATGGCCAGGGGGGTCGTTCCGAACCGCGGCTCCTCCTAGGACAGACACAAAGCCGCCGTCAGCCTCGCTCCCGCGCCCGGCCGCCGACCGGGGGAACGGGCGCCCTCCCCGCCTCGCTTCGCCGTCGCGCCCCCGGAGGCCGCGGCCCGGCCGAGCCGGCGCACGTCGGGCGCCCGCCGGGAGTCCCCGCGGCGGGACGGGACCGGAGGCGGTACGGCGGGGCAGCGCCCGGCGTCGAGCGGAAACGCCGCGGCAGGAAGGAGCGGGGAGCGCGGCGCGGGGCAGGGACGCGGGACCGGCGCCGAGTCGAGCGGGGCAAAAACGGTCCGAAACGGGGCGAAACGCGTCTCGGCTCGGTCGGTGACGTTACAATTCATAGAGGTAAAGCGAGGAAGCGCCGCGGCTTCCGTCCGGCCCCGCGCGCCTTCGGCCGGAGCGACCCCGACGGCGACCCGGCGGCCGCCTCGCGCTCGCGGCCCCGCACGACGGCGGCCGCGGCGCCGGAGAGGTTTCCGGAGGCGGCGGCCGCGAGGAAACGCGCGGCCCCGACTTACCCCGAGGATCGACGTAGCCATAGCACGTCCCTGGGCGGGCTGCGGCGGAACGGGAGGGGACGGGGTTCGGTGCGCGCCCGCGCCGCCCCGGCAGCGCCAAGGACACTCCGGCTCGGCGGGGCTAAACTCTGCCTAAGTGCGGGGCGCGCCCGCTTTGAAGTACCGCTGGCTGCCGCGCTCGCCCAATGAGGGCGCGGGCGGAGCGGGCCGGAGCGGCCCCGCAGCCAATCAGGCGCGCGGAGGTGCCGGCGCCGGGGCGCGGGGCGCGTGCCAGTCAGAGCGCGCGGAGAGCGCTGCGCGCCGGGCCGCGGGGCCGCTCCGCAATTAGCGCCGCGCTGCCCTCCCCGGGACGCGGCCGGCGGCGGCGCTTGCGGGGCCGGGCGCGGAACCGGCGCGGCGCGGCCGCGTGGCTTCGCGCGACGGGGCCCGCGTCGGTGCGGGCGGCGGGACGGCGCTCGGTGACGTTGCGCGGGATCGCCTCAGTTTGTCCGCTTTGGCGAGCGCGAGAGGCGGCCGCGGGCGCGGCGCGTTCGTTCCTTTCCGTGCGAGAGGAGCGAGGGAGGCCCCTCCGTTGTGTCAGCCCCGCGAACCCCGGGCGGGCGCCGCTTTCCCGCGGCGCTCCCGGCTCGGCGCTCCGGCGGGCGGCCCCGCTGTGAGCCCCGCGGAGCTCGGCCGCCGCGGGTACCGGCAGCCCCGGCGCCGCGCGTTACGGCGGAGCTGCGGGACGTCCTGCGGGCCGCGTCCCCGCGTGACGGCCCCTAATCGTCTCCTCGATTCCGCCCTCGCGCCAAGCCCCGGAGCAGGTGCTCCGGGGGCAAGTTGGAGAACGCGGGCGATCGAGGCGCTTCGCTTTTCTCTACTTGGTTTTGATCGCTTCCTTTCCGTGCCTCGCCGAGCCCCGCGGCCGCGCCGCACGCCGCACCGAGGGCTCCCCGGGACGCTTTGCTTCCGGCGCCCGAGGCCGCCCTCCGGCCGTGGCGGGGCTCAGCCCGGGGTCGCGGCGGGGCGCGGACGGGGGGGGGCGGCCCCGGGGGCGGCCAACAGGTGCCCGCCCGAGGAGCGGGGCCGCGCTGCGCTGCCGGCCCGCACTGAAGGCATCCGCGGGCGCGTCCGCGCCCGGCCGGGACGGAGGGACTGGGAACGGGGAGCGCCGCTCAAAGCTTTCGGGGGTCAAGTGAGCTCCGACGGGTTTTGTGCCGTGCTCCAAAAATGGAGTTTTTAAACAAAGATCGGCGTGTTATGCTCGAGTGTCGAGCCGACTGTTAAAACATTTGGGGGGATAATGACAACGTAACAAAGGCCCGGTTCAGAGTGAATCATCACCCTTTTAAAAGTTAAAGCAATTTTCAGGAGAATGGCTTTCAGCAAACGCTTTACATTATTCAAAACGGCCAAATAATGCTCTATTATAGCGCCTGAATGCTGCCAGTCAGCCCCTAAGTGCAATTTGCGCGAAGGCTCCGTGCCTTATCTCCACTTCTTTATAAAGAGGTGAATATAAAACAATTTCTTCCAAACCCAGACGGAGAGCACGAAAATTGCTTCCCTTTCTGCAATCAGGGCAATTTAACTGGAGTGCAATTAGCACTATTAAATGTCGATTCTGCATAAACAAATCTGACTAAGAAGCGAAAGTGGGGTGAGAACCTCATATAAACTGAAACTGATTTTTTAAAATTATGTATCCGGGTCCTTCACAATTGATCCGTGACGTTTTCATTTCGGAATATATTTACATCATAAATACATTATGTTTAAATCAACATAAATGTTAAAGAAAAATAAAGAAGAAGAAGAAGAAGAAGGAGAAGAAGAAAGCGACGACCAAAGCAAAGCCCTGGCCGTGCACGCTGATGGAGCAGCTCCCACCGAACACGGCCGTGCCCTCCTCGGCCCGGCGCTGCCCGCTGCCTCGCCTCCCCGCTCGGGTTCCGGGCGCCGGGCTGAGGCCGGGAACAATTCGTTCATTAGCGCTGATTGGAAGGCTCCGGGCTCACATCGGAGAGCGTCAGATGCGGCGGCTCAAAACGCAGCGCCGGGAAAGGGTTGCCAAATAGTTCGAAAGACATCGATTTCCCTGCGGCTGGGCGCGATGCGGCCGTACGGGTGCCCGGGAGGGGACCGCGGCTTCGCACGGGGGTGCTGCGACCGGGCGAGGGCTGAGCCCTCCCAAGTGGAAGGGAGCGGCGTAACCTGTGCCGGGCGGCGGGACGTGGGCAGGGGGAAGGCGAAGTGCTCATAGCTCAGGCACATAATTGAGTCCTGCCTTTTTTTTTTTTTTTTTTTTCCTTCTTCTTCTTTTTTTTAAGCACCTCTTCTCCTCCCTCTCTCCCTCTGCCTCAATGACACTCTGCATTCCTTGAGCCGGGCACCGCCGCTCATTGTCAGAGCCACGCGCGGGGGGACCCGGCCTCAAATGAATAACTTGGGCTCGGGAGAGGCTGCCCCACGATGTGTCAGAGCGGAGATAGAAGGATGTAGGGATGGTGCTGAAATACAGACCCGGCGCCTGTTGAGCCCACCGCATTCTTTCCGCCGTTGAGTTTTTCATTTGCGTGTAAAGATAAAGAGCGGCTTAAGATAGAAAGAAATCTTTGCTAGCTAATGAAAAGGGAAAGGGCGCCGGGATCGAATAGATCACGGAAATTAAATGAAAATTAAGGCACCGCCGTGATCCCTGCCCGAGCTGTCAGCGCTGTTCGTTATGCAGCCCAGGACGGGCCTCCCGCACCGCTCTGCCTCCCGCACCGCCGCTCGGGGCCGGGCCCCCGCCTCCCGCACCTCCCTGCCTCCGCACCTCCCGCACCTCCCTGCCTCGCACCGCCGCCCGCAGCCCCGCGTGCTCCCGCGCTCCGAGCGCTGCCGCCGCCACGCCCGCCCACCCCGTGCCGCTCCGCTCGGCGCGTTTGGGCCGTGCGTGCGAAGCCTCTCCCGTTCCTCTCCCGCTCCGTTCGTCTCCGCCGAGACGCGGTGACAATTGAAGGGAAGGCTGTGTCAGGGGAGGGAAGGTGACTGCAGACTGTGGGATGGTTTTAATTACTACAATTACTGGGAGATTATTCAGCGGCATCACGGGTTTGTTTTCCGCCTTGCTGGGGAAGTCTGAGGAGCGCCGCACGGGGTGCGCAGCGCGGATTCTCTCTCCCGCTCCTCACGCTTCGCGGTGCCGTTGCGATAAGTCTGTTAGACGCGACGGGCTCAGGCTGCGGCAGGTTTGAAACGCAGCCGGCGCCAGCGCTCGCGGAGCGTCCTCTTAATGAACGCGTTTCTAAACCGCTCCCGGAGCGCAGAACCGCCTTTTCCCCCGCGCCCGCCGCAGCGGCTCCGAGGGCTCTGCGGCCGCTGCTGGGCGAGCCCTGCACGCCGGGAGCGCGCCTCGGGAGCGCGCCCCTCGGGCCGCCCGCCGCGGGCTGCGCCGCTGGGTCACGGCGCTACGGGCACCCGCCCCGCGGTGCGGCCCCTGCCGCGTCCCCGCCGCCCTCCCACTCCTCACGCCGTCCCGGCTTTCTTCCGCGGCGTTTTTAGCAAGGCGTGACTCAGTGTGTTGGTGGTGATTAAGCAAGCTGTCTATCTGCAGATAGAGATATGTGGGCACGTAACAGACAGGATGATTGACGCTGCAAAGTTCTCCTCGGTCCGCGATGACCAATAAATCCCGGCGCTGGCTTCGCCCGCTAATGAATGGCTGCTGGGGACGGGTCCCCCTGCGCGGCTCCTCGCTCTCCCGCCCCTGCCCTGGGATGCGGCCGAGGACGCCGCTCGTTGTGCTCCCTCCCGGCCGCAATTACTGCGCTGCAACTTTACGTGAATCCAGCGCTGCTCACGAACCATTTCACGTTCAAGATGCGAGCTTGCGGTACTTTCCTAGTGGCAATTAGGAGCCTATTACAAGCCATTAAATTGATCAATGTACCTTAAACAATGTGAGTGATTTATATGGCAGAGAAAAAAGCCGTTTTGCATCCATTGTACTGCTCTGGCGACCAACCTGGCCCTGCGTGTCCATTTATCACTGCTTTGAGCAACAAAAGCGATTTGTTTAGAAAACTTGTGCGCACAGGGACAACCTCAGCATCTCCAGCCTGCGAGGTGCCCACAACGTGTTCTCAGCTAGGGGCTGCGGCTCGAGGGTTCTGGCCCGGGGAGGTGGCTGTTTTCCTGAGAGATGAATTCATCTTATAACCGAGGGAATGAAGGCAGTAAGGGCGTTCCTGCTGCTGTCCAAGTAAGCCCTGGTCTGTGATGCAGGGAGGAAAGCAGCGCATTACCCATTTGTTTGACAAAGCTCAGGGCTAAGCAGGGGCACACCAGGCGAGTAGCGAAGGGAGCGGCGTGGCCTCCTCAGTGCCCAGAGACCCTGACCCCAAATGGCATCACTGGAGTGTCTGTGGGCCTTGGGGCTGTCTGTGCCACCTGCCAGGAGGCAGCGAGCCGCAGCCGGGGAAGGCCTCTCGGGGTGAGGGGTGCTAGGGTGTGCAGCTCCCATCAGAAACAGTGGGACCATGCCTTGCCATTAGTGCAGGGCTGAACTGTTTCTGCCCTTTTCCTTACTTCTTGCTAAACTTTTTCGCCCTGCTTCTTTGTGCTGCAACGTGACTGTTCTCCGTAGACCCAAGGGCTGGGTGAGTCCCTGCCTGTGAACTCAGGCTCCTGAGGGAATGTGCCATACGAACTCACTGAATTGGCCTGTACAGCTGCACTCAGGTGGCACCTGCACAACTGCAGTGCTGCTTATCTGGACAAAAGGACACTGACAGGCTTTCTTCAGGTGGAAATCTCTTCTGAGCTATCCCACAAGTGAACATTATTCATTTAAAATCCCAGATACTATTGGTGCTTCAGTAACCATCTGCACTATTGTTTTCTATGTTCTGGACTCCAGAAATTGCTACACACTCATTGGAAATCACTGTTTTAACATGTCACTTGCTGCCAGGAGGTAGACACACCACATCAATATTGGGACAAAGAAAAGAATCAAGGAAAGGGTGTCCAATCCTGTCGAGGGCTATGACCCTTTTGTTGCACAGCACAAGGTACAGCCGCTTCACAGTCTGATTTCCAAGTTGTTCTTACAGCGCTGACACTATTCACTGCCTAATCTAGTCATCAGC